TAACATCTGTGAAATTCTACATTTCCCCAATTTTCAGAAATTATGATATCTCGCTACTCTAGAATTACAAAGTCCTATCTGCTCAGTAGATCTACCTAATATTGACAAATTTGACGAAAATTTTTTCGAGTTTCACAAAATGTCAAGCTTTTCCAAATGCAATCCTTTGAATATCTCCATAGCAACTCCGAATAATCTTTCGATTTTGATAGAGAAGATAGAACATGCATTATTAATTTGCTTTCTGACCTCATGGTCTTAGTGACTCCAAACGACCAAAATAGTTAGACAGAACTTTGTAACTCTAAAGTAGAGATTATTTATTACTGTGCGCGTCTTGGTGTGTGATGGTGCAGCGGTATGGCGCTACCTCAGAAAAATACAAAGTTCTATCTGACATTTTTGGACGTTTTTTTTTTTTCCCCTAGTTATTAAGGCCACGATGTCAAGAAACAAATGCTCTATCTGCTCTATCGAAATCGTAAGATTATTTGGAGTCGTCATCAAAATGTTCAAAGACTTGCATTCGAAAAGCTTGACATGTTGTGAAACTTATAAAAATAATTTGAAGTCACATTTCTCAAAACTAGGTACTGGGCACATAATATTTTGTAATTCTGGGGTAGCGACATGTAGGAGACCCGAGTTTGATTCCTGGGTAAGGAGAACATGTTTTATAGGAGAATCTTGGTCTTTTTGCTGAGATAATTATATCCTTTTCAGGCCGAGTTTGGTTGGCAGTGACAGGCAGGATCGGAACCCCGCCTCTTGACTGATCTAGAATGTGGGAGCTCATATTAGCCTACTACTAAGATCTTATCCAGTTGCTAACGTCGTAAAATTGCTACCAAGTCTGACCGTATGCATTGTGAACGTCGTAATTTAAAAAAAAATCGAACCTGATCTTATCCAGCTGCTGGCGTCGTTAGACTCTTACCAAAACCTGATCTAATTTGTGTCTAGGGGGAGCGTAAAAAAAATAACACCTACATTTTTATTCATTTATTTTTTATTTTAAAAATTGTTTTGGTATGTCTTCCCATCAGGGTCGGCGATGAAGCTAGTTTGTAAGCACATAGCAGATGTGAACTGCGCCACCCCGAGGGAAACTGCTCTTTCTTGCACAAAGGAGGCCGTCAACTTGCCCAGAAAAGTCATCTTTGAAACTGGTGAGTTCGTGCCCCATGGGCTTACGATAGAGATGGGATGGGATATGGGACGGGATGGGGTGAGTTCAGTCACCACAGACTTATGATAACGATAGGATGGGATGGGGTGAGTTCATACACCACGGGCTTACGCCAGAGATAGGATGGGATGGGGTGAGATGGGACGGGGTGGGGTGGAGTGGGTTCATTCACCACGGACTTACAATAATATAGATGGGACGGACTTACAATAGAGATGGGATGGGACAGGATGGGGTGGGGTGGAGTGGAGTGGGGTAGGGTGAGGTGAGTTCGTTCACCACGGACTTACGATAAAGATGGGATGGGATGGAATGGGGGGGGGGGTGGGATGGGATGGAGTGAGTTCATTCACCATTGGCTTACGATAATGATGGGATGGGATGGGGTGGGAGGAAGTGGGCTGAGAGATAGGTTTTACAAAAAATATTTATGTGTGTAGATTTTATAAACCTCGTTCATGTGTGGAGTAAACAACGTTCATGTGTGTAAATTTAAAAAACAGCATTTCGTAAACAATGAATATGTGTGTTGTGTGTAGACTTAATTAAAAAATGTATGTGTGTGTGTCGATTTTATTTGACGTCGGTAGCCTAGTGGTATAGATATCTAGTGTATGTTTACACACACACACACACACACACACACACACTCACTCACACACACACAAACACACACACACACTCACACACACACACACACACACACACAAACACACACATACACACACACACACTCACGTTTTTGTACACACACATTATTATACAAACATATATCCCCAGGATGCTCCACGTTCGAAAAAAATGTGGTCCCGCACGAGGCTCCTCGTGCCTGGTCTAAATTGACCCTGAGCGGGTCCAAGTACTATCAGTGCACGTGCTCTAGGCTTGTGGGGAGTGCTGGGCTCCAATGCTCTTGCCAGTATACTGAAGATCAACACCTCGAAATACTTCGTAGGCCTAAATTCGAGTATAAGTGAAGAATCCGCAGAAAGCTAACAGTGGGGGTCTTTCAATAACGACCGTTGGCGATCTATAATAATAATAATAATAATAATAATAATAATAATAATAATAATAATAATAATAATAATAATAATAATAATGATAATAGTAAAAACAAAAATTTTAAAATAATAATAATATTTGATTTGTGTTTGGGTTGTTTATTTTTGTTTGTTTTTTGTTTGTTTTTGTTCCTTACGTCTAATAAACAGGAAGTCCATTTGGTTGTCAGTGATTTTGGATTTGATCTTCCAGTCGATATTGAAATTCACTTCATTTTTTTAAAAAACCTTTTATTTTTGTAGCGTTAACATACTTACACTTCCATCAACTGGATTTTAGATCATTCTGGAGGCGGGCTTCGCCAACGGGAGATGGACAGGAAACAACGTCCCAGCAGAAAGATCGAGATACTCGAGAAAAAATTATCCAGTATACTGAAGATCAGTACCAAGCAATCCGAGAATCAATGAAGATTCCGCAAAAAGCTAACAGTGGGGGGCTTCCAATAACGACTGTTGACGTTCTATAATAATAATAATAATAATAATAATAATAATAATAATAATAATAATAATAATAATAACAATAATAATAATAATAATAATAATAATAATAATAATAATATTACAATAATAATAAAAAGCAATATAACAATAATAATAATAATAATAATAATAATAATAATAATAATAATAATAATGATAATAAAAATAATAATAATAATAATAAAAACAATAATAATAATAATATATTGATAATAATAATAATAATAATAATATTAATAATAATAATGATAATAATAATAATAATAGTAATAACTATAGTAATAACAATAGAAATAGTAATAATAATCATTATAGTATAATTA